ACACGCCACTATCAAAAACTCTTTGTTCTGATATTTTCAAATGCGATGCAAACAAATGGTTATTTGGATATCTTTAAGCTTAAGTGAAGACATAAAAAAATCCAAACAAAAACGTGCATTAGTCACCAGGTGTAAATACAAAAACACCTACGCATATTCCGTCATGGTCACGAAATCACATTAAAAATGGTTGTTAATTTTGTATCTTCTTATTGGAAATTCTAGCTTTGATATATAAATCTCTTTTAACAAAACAACTCATAATTTAATCTTAATCTTGATCTTACTAATATTATAAATGGGAATGTTTGTATGGATGTATGGGTGGATGTTTGTTAATTTGGCATAGACGTAGAACATAGTACGGAAGAACACGTAGGCTTCTAATGCAGTCTTTTTATTACTCCGCGCGGACGGAGTTGCGGACGACAGTTAGTCCATATAAAAATAGGTAAATCTAAAGGCAAAACAAAACACTAGTGTATGAAATCATGTAATATTTTTAAGGCTTATCTATTTTTGGCGAACGATTCACAAAATCGTGAGCAAGATTCTGGCACTTTTCGTGTTACGTCATACAATGAAAAGAATAAAAGCATTCGTCAAAACATTGCGGTCGAATCGAGAGATTTTGTGATGATGACATCAACAACAGCTTAGAAACCGAAAATGTTCTTTGTCTTAGTTAAATAGGTCAATTTTCTTGAATAGTTTCACGTCTCTCTACGTAAATAGAGATCTGTGTTTGTCCATGTTTAGTGTGGTATTAAACGCTCATCCTTTCGTCTTCTACTGTCTCTAACCCTATTTAATTTAAAAAGCAAAGTTTATAATAGACTTATCGTCCGGGTCATCGTTTCGCACCTTGAAATTAACTAATGCTTCGATTATATACGCCTATAAACTTATAACAGCACGGAATAGACAGTTATGACCTATATCTCATTCGTTACATTGACGACCCGTATCACTGGTTTTCCACGCCGTCTAAACCCTTCGTTTCCACTGCCGAACGACTATACAAAATCATATTGCTATCTCTATTTTTCCAAAGAGAACGAAAGAGATGTAAGAATGTACAAGTAGAAGTGTTTGGCAGTGAAATCCTAGGGTTAGAAGGTTGCGTGATACGCTCCGTGTTATTCAGACGATACACGCTACTTGTAATTATTCAATTAACTTTTGATTCTATTGATGACATCAATAAAACAGAAAAAAATCTACCGTAATATTTACCGGAGTAGGACTTCGTAGCGTTATTCTTTGCGAGTAGGCTAATCGAGTAAAATTCTTCTAGGTACTTCTTTTTCGTTATTAGAGGCGGGATTTTCTAAAGATGCTCTACCTTTTAGTGGAAGATCAGAGTTGTCAGGTTTGATCGACTAAAACCTCCTTGGTGCGATTATAAAGTGCGACTGAAACAGATTTCCGAGGGAATGCACAATTGCATCGGATTACATTTAGATCTCACACCGTCGTAACGTTATCGTAAATTTTAACATCCTGTAAGTCCGGCTTAAGGGATACATAGCCTTTTATGCTATCTGTACTGAAAGGTACTGTCTTCAAATCAGAATAATATTAATATTGAAGAACAAGATAATTAGCAACAAGTTATTTTCCAGTTAATGCATAAAATAATATTTGCTTAAGATAAACTTGTCAATTATAATGACTATACAGACATATTAAAATGTTTGCAATTGATTTTGCATATCTTATTATTTATGATGTATTAGAATGTTTCAAGTTTTCTGTAAAATTGGGAATTAATTGTTATTTCTTTAATTTATTTTTTTAATGCTAGAATAATACAGCCTGTATTAGAGTACGAGAGTACAGGATGTATATAGATTAGAATCTAGAGATTCAATTTATTCAAACTTATTTATGGAAATCTTCAAACTGACCAAACCTTGACACAATATCAATAACGATCGACCTAAATCTTTGACGTAACTGTGACTAATTCAGTCGAGTAAATGAATCGTCATGAGGCCATCGCACGCGATGTCAATTTGGAAGTCACAAGTGAGAGGTCGCCTTACTTTTGACTTCAATTAGTTACCCCATGCACCCATAGATTGACATCATGACTTACGTGTTATGCAATATTGAGGAACAGTTTTATGTCACTGAAGATAACTAGCATAGTGACGTGAAATATACATATTATAGTAGGTTTAGTTTGATCATATTTGGCTTAAAATGTGCCTAGTGAGGTCATAAACTGTCGAAGTTCACAATTGCTTGGTGGCATTTAAAAAACTGAAGTATATTGTCTATTCTTATCAATATATGTATATAAAATCTATTAGTACTTTAGTTCTAATATTCAACTTGCATACACATACTTGGCGGTTATTCACAGCGCTAATTATGGCATTCGCCATCGTATGTGATGAGGTAATCCGCATGAATCTCGTTACACAACAATCGACAATTGTAACAGACTATAATGAGTAGACCATAGACGAAAAATAGAACTATAGATTATTCATATAGCTTTGTCGATGACAGTTCACATTTATAGCACGTAATACCTATATTATGTGCTGTGTTGATGAATCCAGGTAACTCCCGTTTTCCTCAATTCGGCCAAAATAAATCTTACTAATGTTATAAATGCGAATGTTTGGATGTATGTTTGTTGGAAGTCATCTTCAGATCGGCTGCATGGATCTCTCTGAAATTTGGCATAGATGAACATAGTCTAGAAGAACACATAGGCTAGAATACGTTTTTTAATTCCGCGTGGATGGAGTCACGGGTGCCAGCTAGTAGTTACCTCTAAATAAATAAGCAAGCTTTCTTTAAGAAAGGTTTTCTGTATCTTTGTCTCGTATCTCTATTCACAATTGACCGAATAACAGTACTCGTAATACAGTTCAATATTTCATAGATATCATTGAATCCATTTGTGATAACTAAAATGGACACAGAGTAGATTTTACCGGCTATTAATAACCAGTATATCAATTGTTTACCGTTTGCTATTGCACTGTGTCACTTTAGTGGGCGTTGTAATGGCTTTCATGCATTTAACTGTACAATAAAAAATTACATCATCGTTGATTTAAGTCTTTATACAAAGGGTGGAGTCTAGGCTTAATGTCTACAAAGATAATGGCCGTAGAAATGCAAACTATATCAAGTCTGCCAAGGGCCATAAAGGGCTGTAGAGCTATGAAGAAAAAAATATCGAGCCTATGTTTTATCGCTTTTTGAGAAATTTTACTAGATTGAACCCTTTATAGTTTTAATACGTGTAGTTATGTTCATCCTGTGTAGTATCGAGTCGGTGTTTACACGAGTTTCGTTACATCAGTGTTACTGTGATTTAATCTAACCGTTGGTTTCTGAGACCAAAATCTCTAAAACATAATCATCATCCTTGTCTTATGTTTCACAAAACAGATATAACAATATGTGTTAAATATACACTAGTAAAGAAGTATATCTTCATATGACATAATTATTAGTAGATTTGTAAATAATAATTATTACTAGTAATAAATATTTTATCGAAAGTCGTGACTAAAATAATAAGTCGAAACAAAATAGTAATGATTTTTTATGTTATACTAGTATTTTATAGGTTTTAAATTATTTGTAAGAATAATATAAGTTGATTGAAATATTTTATACTTGCTGATATTGTCATCCTTTTCAATATCTTTTAAAACATAGAAATAAATATATATATATTTTTTGGCATTGGAATCATATGGTAAAATTATCCGTTGTCATTTACCAACAGTTTGAAAGCTCTTTTTTGTTATAATTCAATAGACCGAAACCCTTTTATATCACAGTCAATGTACGTAACTGTACAACGTCGGTTGACAAAATGCAAATTTAAGCTATATTTCATTGTGAACATTCGCTATATGTGTCGCCTAAAAACCTCCAATGAATGAGACAGATGTATGCACAGACTTTCCATCCTTTTCACTAGTATGGTTTGGAATGATTATACATGCATGAAAGCATAACTGTCAAATTAATAATACTACTGCAGTTATTATTTCCTGGTAATTGGCCCAGGTGTTGTTTTATATAAAAGTAGGTAGAGCACTAACTGTTGGTTTTTGAAACCAAATACTACAAAACATATATCTTTGTTACTGTCTTTGATAAATCAAAGATAACAATGTTATATTTTAAACGAGGATTTTAGTCTCAGAAACCCACGATCATTCGTTTTATATGTGATCATCGAACATAAACTTTCTTATAAAGATAAGAAAAGGGGCTAGAAATTAAAAACAAAAGAGAACAGAAAGAAAATAATGAGACAGATACTTTACATGAAGCTACTAGTATATAAAGTTTACTTAATTAAGTCTTTTTATTATTTTTCAATTGGTAATTAAGTATCGTACGATCTTTTAAATCGATATGGAAGACGACAATCTGCTCTGATCCTACGTGAGTGGGGTTATAACACGGGGATGATGACTGTATTATTTTATGACTTTAAGGTTAATCTTCTTCCAACTAATGTACGAAACCACATGTCTTGTACTAAATTTCATATCATTATAATACAGGTCAAAAATAAAGTTCAACGTATAATTGTTAATTTCCATTAATAAAGCCAAGTCAAAGATGTCAATTTAATTGATTCATAAGTACCGACATCGTTATTCAATTGATAGCCTATTCAAGGTATCACTTACGACACCAAAAAAAAACTAAATTGAATGAAACTGATATAAGTATAGATTATATTTTTTTAAGTAAGTGAAGTTACTTACCTTGGATAAAACTTGTTGGTTACCTTAACATGATTGTAAATTTCAAAGACTTACTGATAGTCTTTTCCGCCTGACATCATATTTTGTGAAAGCCTAAATTTGTATAGGAACTCAATTTAAGACTCTGTCTTTGGAAACGTGGTTCAAGTACACCAAAAATGGGAGTAAATTAAACTGTGATATAGAAGTCTTCCTATTTCCTTAGATAAATAAGTAATGTTCCGATTTCTCTTGTTCCAGGTGGATTGGAAGGAAAGTACCGCGTGGCTGCTCCAGAGCTCATGCAAGACACATTCATGAGCGATTCGGAAGACGAAGGAGGTAAGATGTTTATTAATTTGTATATTATCCCGTTTATCAATAATTTAAAGTAGAAATTTCATCACTCTTTTCAAGTCAAGACTGAATCACGGTGTGATTTAGTTTATTGCGTTTGTGTCACCGAATTACTTAGCCTTACCTTTGATTGTCGAAATAAATTGTCATATATTGCCATTTTCTGTACGCATCTCTTTCAGCTACTGAACATTTGTTATTTTTGCAGGCGAAGTGGAGTGTCCTATCCAACAGCAACAACAATATCGGTACATGGCGAGCGAGGCGGGCACGTTGCAGCGCGCGAGGCCGCTTGCTGCAGACCACACCGTGGCTGACGGACATCTATGGCCCAGCAACAATGATAAGAAAGTCGCCACGATTGAACGACAGCCTGTCGACATCGGGTAAGGGTTATTTTGTACTAGCAGTCGTATCAGAACAAGACAAACATTGTATTCACATACGTTTGTCTCGCTCTGATTTGACTGACGATCATTGTTCTAACGATTCCAGCTTAAGAAATGAACCTTAACACTCGTATTTACCCCGAGCAAGTCTACTTGGCGGCTAGGACCTTAGACAAGGACTTCTAACAGCCCGAACCCAAGCTCCTGAGTCCTCGAGCCTTATTACTCTTAAACGAGGTTCAGGATAAGCGCCATCTGCGCTCGGACACCTCAAGGACTTCTTGGAAACTGGACGAGTAAAGGGACACAAGAATTTAATACAAGTATTTGAAAATTAATTTACATCAGTAAAAGTCTATGAATTAAAAAAAAAAACAATTATTTATATGCGTTTAACAATGTAATACATTTTTTTGTATGATCTCAAACAATAATAACAAAATGACCGGATCTAAGGTTAACCAGGAAGAGCCGAATGTACAATGGTCTGAAAGTCAGGTGATGTCATCCGAGTGTTGCGCCACTTGCAATGACATCAGCAAAATGCTTGTAATGATTCTGTAAAATGATTACGTTGCACGTGCCTTTTAAGGTGTAGTGATGTGATCATTGCATTCTAAGTTCGCACTTAAGTCTAGTGATGCACAATTCAACAAAAATATCGATATGCTTTGATTGATTTTTTTTTTAATAAAAAGGTGAAGGAGTGTTCTTGAGTAAATTTGTCTTTGTAAAATTGTCTGACCATATTACCGTTAATTTGAGTCTTCTGTTTTCACTCTTCTAATATAGGGTTATTCACAATTCATTTTTTTAAATAATACTTGAAGTATTATTAAAAAAAATATTAGAATATTAGCATTTTTTAACTTTTTTTGCAAAAAAAAAAGCTAAAAGACATGATAACTTAATAATGATTCACTTTTGCATAATATGTATTGGAGTTAAAATTATCGCAAATAGTCACCCCCTATCACCTAACAGGAATACGTCTAATTACCAATAACCCTGTATATCGTGTTACTTTGTCAAGTTGCTGTACTGTGGTTTTAGTAAACCAGATGTAATTTAATATTTATATAGTCTTAGTAAACAGTATGACTCACCAATATTTAAAACTCGCTTGAAAAATTCATTAATTTTTTTTAATGAATTTTTCAATGAAACAAGATAATTTTTCACTGATATAATTTACTACAGATTCTTACATTTTAAAGTATCGAGGACGGCATCTACTTTTTAAAACTACAGTCAATATGGTTATTTTTGATCATCTCATGTCAAGGTTACGATATACTCGTATTGAGTGACGTGTTTTAGTGAGTTACAATAGTGTCAGGATATTCAATTGATTCACTCAATGCATTAGTTAAGATTCACTCAGTACACGTGTTACAGACGTGCTCAGGAATATTATATTTGTTTACTTAAAACTATTACCAACTTGGAATACAGATTTTAAGTATAAATGCAATAGTTGTATTGTTTTATTGTAACTGTCTTACCCACAGTCGTTAATTTTATCTCTGAGTGCAGATTTATACACTAAAGGACATAATTTAAATATTATTTATTGATTTGAAAATAGGATAAGGACATAGGGCAATAAATAAGATTTCAAGGACACGTCACGTTCATTTCGTTACATGACAGAGAACAAAATGTATCTCGTTCTCTCTCTCGCTTAAGATTTAATTCCGATTAGTTCTTACCGTATACAAATAAAGTTTATTGTTCGTAGGTTCCTGGTGTCGTTTGTGGTGGACGCTCGTGGAGGTGCTATGAAGGCAAAGAGACGTGGTGGAGTGCGCATCATTGTGCCCCCAGCAGCCTGCGCCGCGCCCACTAGAGTTACATGCCGGTAAGATTATGATAAACTAGCTGTCGAACGCGACTCTTCTTCCAGACTATCTTACAGATTTGCGCCAAATTTCTGCGTGAACCATACAACCGTTCTGAATATACTTTTTATCAAACATCCATCCATCCATCAAAACTTTCGCATTTACTACGATTATCTCTGTATTAAAGAGAGAAAAGTGTACATCTAAATGACGATGTTTGATATCTTTAATTTTGTGTTTTATTCATTTTTTTAATAGTAAAAGTGAACTTAGTCGTGTAATAATAATTGCAGTGTGATATAATGAAATAGTATGTATACAGTTGACTCATTTCCCAAATTGAAAATAAATTTTGGGACCGTGCCCGATGACACATTGTTTATTTGGGTTTTGTTCACAGAACTCATATGCATACATTGCTTAGTAACATAATTCTATTATGCAATTAAAAAAAATAACAAATTTATGCCTTTTTTATAACGATTTAATACTTTTTCACGTGGGAAACTTTTATTCATTATTATTTTGTAGTGCCGCAACCCGTCGAGCGCCCGCCGCAGCGCCGCCTCCACTGATGGAGGGTGAAGCCCTGGCCTCCAGACTGCTTGAACTGCAGCCACAGGGTGCTAAGTTTTTAGCGTAAGTTATACTACGTTAAATTTGAACTTAAATGAGGTAATCTTATAAGTGCAGCTATGAAAAGATTGAATAGAAAAAAATACCTACAATGTTTAAAAAAAACAATATTATTAACTTTTTAACTTATGTTTCTTGCTAATATTAATCGTTTAAATAACTAACATACAACTTTTAATATTCAATAACGTCCATATATTTTTTAATTGATATTGAATTTGTTAGTTGTAGAAATTGACTAAAATGGCTATTTACAGGCCAGTGATAATCGAGGTGCCGATATTCACCGCGTGTTGCAAGGAGCGCGAGATCGTGGTGCTGCGCTCTGAGACGGGCGACACGTGGCAGGATCACTACCTGCACAACAACGACAACCCCATCATACAGGTGCGCCTCTTATAATGTCGTCCGCGACTCCGTCCGCTATGGCTATGTCTTCTTCCAGACTATGTTCTATACCAAATTCATCCAAACATTCGCATTTATAATATTAGTAAGATTAGTAAGATGATTCATTACTGTTAACTATAAGTTCATCTCTTGTTATGTTTCTGAGTCTCAAACGAATCATACAGTAGTTGTGAAGGCGATAAGTTTCGCTTTTCGCCTTAATTTTGGCTAAAAATATAGAAAGTAAAAGTAGAAACGTTTGTTCATTTGATACTAATTCTCAACCGCGACTCCGTCCGCGCAAAATAAAAAAATAAATAAAAAATAGCCTGTGTTTTCCAGACTATGTTCTATGTGTATCCCAAATTTCAGCGAGATCCATTCAGATAACTTGTAACAAACATCCATCCGTCCGAACATTCCAATTTATAATATTAGTAAAGTTGTATTAAAGGTGAAATAGACATCTTCCACACTTAAATTCGTTATAGTCACTAAGGAGATGCCTTAGTGTTGCATTGTAATGAAACATTGCTCCAAGTATAATACTTTACTTAGTAATATTATAGTATGAAACTAAAATACAATATTAGCTCATGCTTTTGTAATATTGTTTACAAACTCTGTACCGCGGAGTACGTTGTAAGGTCGTGCCTAATTCTGTGCGTTTGAGGTGAAATTATTTACTTCATTCGCAATAAACTGAAAATAGGACGTTCCAAAATTAACTAATTATAGCTCAATGCGATGATGTACTTGTTATATCTGAATAGTAAGGTCAGCAGATATGAACAATTATTATTTTGTATAGAATATTTACCTTTAAAATCTGTAATTTGTTTTGCAGATTGACTTTCTTTACCGTTCTCTTCCTTTTCAATCATCTTTATTGATTTTTCAAATGCTTTGGACTTTAGCAGACTTCCAAAATTATATAATTGTAATCCAACGTCCACTCACTGCCATAAGCAGAATCTTACTGCTTACACCTTTGTCCAGATTTTACTGAATTAATCACCTAGGAACTTTTTAGTAACCACTAGCTGCAGCCTGTGACACCGTCCATGGGATTAAAAAAAAACTTTACTTGTATCCTAAGTGTTCTTCCAGATGTTCTACATTTATGCCAAATTTCATCGAAATCTATGAAACTATGCTGCGGATACATTTTAACAAACATCCCTCCTTACATCCAAATATTCGCATTTATTAGTAAGATTTATACTTTCTGATTGTGTTATTTAGCCAATAGCAACTCTAAAGTGTAAATAATAGATACGAAAATGTTTTGACAGGAAGCTCTAGCGCGCGAGCGTCAGGAGTACGGTCCTAGCGGCGAGGCGGTGGGGGAGAGCGGGGAGCGCGTGACGCGTGTCGTGACGTGCGACTTCCCGCACTACCTGGCCGTGGTGTCGCGTGTCCGCCAGGAGGTGCACGTCATCGGACCTGAGGGCGGCACCGTCTCCAGCGCCCACATACCACAGGTAACACAAATATCACAATATTTTCAAATATTATCTGCAATCTTAGCGGCCCAAGGTCAGGACATCTCTTCCTTCTTCCTTTTAAGCCCCATTACACCTAAAGATGAGATCTGAGTAGCGATTCGTCAGGTATTCCGAGCCAATAAGATATTTGATTTTAACTATATTTGTTATTTTTACATTTTTTTTATAAATATTGCTTTAAAAACATAAAAATTACTCGTCAAAATTGATCAAATCTAATAAGACAAAGATACCGGTGAAAAATAAAATAGTCAAACCAAAACCGGCTCATTATTTATAAAGTTATAATTATGAGTTTTATGTTGTATCGCAGGTGCAGGCGCTGTTCCCCCCGCAGGCGCTGACGAAGCGCATCCGCGTGGGTCTGCAGGCGCACGGCGCGGCGGGCGAGCTGTGCCGGCGCGTGCTGCCGCGTCACGCCGCCGTCTCCCCCGTGCTCACTGTGGAGCCGCGCCGCCGCAAGTTCCACCGCAGCATCACCCTCACCGTGCCGCTGCCGGTGCCGCACCAGGTACACCTCCCACATGAAAACATTGTGATGCTACCTGTATCTGACAAAAAGTTCATAATTACCGTGGATATATTCGTAAGTGGATTTAACAGAGGCGGGGAGATATAGGAAAGAGAAATATTCTTTTCTATGTCTCCTCCTCCGTCGATTAAAAGTAGGCAACGCATCTACAACTGTGGATGTCTATGAGCAACAGTCGCTTCGCTGTTTCGGCAAATTCAAATGGCCACTCGCTCATTTGCCATCTTATAATATTAAAAAAATCCATAAGTTAAGGCTCGTATACTATCCTAGTGGGGACATATTAATTGATGAACATAACACAAAACCAAGGTTACGAGGACGAATATAAGTTAAGATGATGTATTTATCTTCAAAGGAACCAAACTTTTGTTCAAAATAAAAGCATCGTTCTCTTCACTTAATGTTTATTATAGAATTATGATGATAACTTAACAAAACATATATACAACACACTACGATTTAACAAATATAATTAGTAAGGACAACACACTATTCTCTGTTCATTGTTACTCACTCGTTTTTACACACTTTTAATGTTTCAGACATTTTTAAATGATCAATGTTCTCGTAACACAATCACAATATTAATATATTCACTATAGTTCAATTATTCTTCTCCCGGGTTTCGGCACCAAACTTTTTTTATTCAGGGCGCAGTACACGATAAGGCGTCGACTGCAACTCTTCGACTGCTGTGCTCCATCATGGGAGGTCAGGCGCGTGCTGTGTGGGAGGACGTCACCGGCTCCACACCACTCACACTCACTGAGGACTGTGCGTCCTTCACCACCACTGTGTCCGCCAGGTTTGTACCACATTGCAACCAATAGACAATATTATTTAACTTATTTCGTACTATATAATTGCTTTAGTGACAAGTCAACTATAAACAATACATTAATATCAAAGTACTGCACTTTCAATGGTTTTTGGTCCTTGAAGCCGGATCTTCACATGCTCGTAAGGATGCTCTTATAGGCTCTATTACAAATTGAGCACAGATAATGTAATGATAGATAACACATTATTTTGAGCTTTATTTTAAATTTAATGTAATTTTATTATTTATTTCAGATTTTGGTTGATGAACTGTCAAAATGTAAGCGACGCCACAAAACTGGCTACAGAATTATACAGGTAGATAATACGTACTTATCAATACTTTTATAATAGTAATAACACCAAAATAACATGGATACAGATTATTAAGTATTGTGTGAAATTATGGTCCTAGTATTAAAATTCGTCATCAGCTCACTATACGTACCCATTGAGGGACTCGGAGCCTACCCTAAGTTAAGGGTGATTAGGCCATAGTCAACCACGCTGGCCAAGTGCGGGTTGACTTCACACATATCTTTGAATTTCTTCTTGAGTATTAAAATATTTGTGTGTAATTATAGGGAAATGCTATTGGTGCCATTCGAAGTACGTATCGTGGTGCTGGGCAAGAGGCTTGATGCGTTGGAAGGCAGACTGCTCGTACTATACATAACTGACAGATATGCTTATGATACGCTTCTGAAGCAGGTATGTATATAAATTAGTATTGTTATTTACTATAGTTGAATAATTTATAATTCTATTATATATAAACAATGTAAAAAAGCTTTACTGTTAAATTTGGACAAAGATGGTGAACGTAACATTTCCAAGTAACGCGTCTTGTTGTCTTTTCGTTATAAGAAAGAGAAGAAAGATACAAAATAAACGGGAAAAAGGAAGCTAGACGTATTTTTGAACCTTTTCCATTGTGTTTCTTTTTCTATAAGGAACATTTGCAGAAGCACTTTGCGATATTATAATACCTGACACTATTTATATCAACTGTTTTTTTTAATAAAAGGAGCACTACACGGAGATAGCGCATTCTACCGCGGTCCGGTTCCTGGACGGCAAGGAGGTGTTCCTGGAGTTCTCCGGCAACCTGGTGCCCGTCACCAAGTCCGGCAGTCAGCCCATGTTCACATTCGAGGTAACAAACATAGAATTACTAGATTTTACAATACTATAATACTGATTTAGCGAAGTAAAAGAAAATATTCATTTTATCCGGCTCCAAAAGGACCATAAACACTTTTCTCAGTTATTGTCCAATTTTGCATAGATGTCTACATTTCATTAATTTTGCAGTATTTTACGTGACGCTTTGTATTTTTTTAAGCAATAAATAAATAAGTTTGTATAAAATATGCTTTCATATGTAGATAAAGTAAAAATGCTTATGTTAATAAAGTAAATTTTGCAGGCTTTCAAAGACAACCGCGTGGAGTTCACAGTACGCGTCAAACATCACGAGGAGAGTCCCGCCGGCAGAGTCTACTTCATGAATGAACCGAAGGTACCATAAAAATGTTTTCAAATATATCTAGTGAGTTTCCACTGCAGAAACATCTGTATAAACATGTATTGTCTCTTTTATTCTCTTCGGGAAAAAACGGAGATGAAAATAATTGGAACAAAAAACCTCATGAGCTTCAGTATTCTACGCCGAAGCGTTATATACAATTTCCCGAGACTCTGTCCACGCGGAACTAAAAAAAATAAGCCTATGCGCTCTTCCAGACTATGTTCTATAAGTATGCCAAATTTTATCGAGATCCGTTCAGCCTTTCTGAAGATACCTTCAAACAAACATCCATCCTTCTAAACATTCACATTTATAATATTAGTACGATGTAGGTTTGTAATAAATCATGTGTTTTGTAGGTGGCGAAGGGCGAGCAGTCTCAGACTCCGGCGTGTGTGCTGGACGTGGAGCTGCCCGAGCGCATCGCACCGCGCGCAGCCAAGAGCCAGATTGACTACCTCAATCTAGACCAGTCCGGTCAGTGCACACTACATTGCCTCGTTAGTCAGAACTAAATTCATTCATATTTTATAATTAATTCTTATTTTTGCAGGTTTTGATGCACTAAAAGATGAATTGAGTTTCCATTGGGGCGATCACAACAACAGCTTGGGACCCGCCTCGTTGCCCGGTCAGGGTCACCAGGTCAATGGACATGTAAGAGTTTTTACTTAAAAATGTTAATTATTATATAATTTCTAAAAACTATAACGAATTCGACTTTTCAGGACAAAATCATCACCAACGGAAATGTGAAATATCCCACAAGTGATGAAGAAGACAAGGATACAAAGCCTCAAGGTAAAATTAATATATTTAACAATAAAATAATTATATTATTTTAATTATTATAAAAAAAAAAACAATTTGCTTTTATTACAGTGAACGGTGGCAGTTTGCATGTAGACTCGAACAAAACAAAGGCAACGTTTGATTCTGACGAAGATAAAACGCCGATGAACACCTTGGAGAAAGGCAAGAAGAAACCAGAAGGTGGTTCCTTCTTCGGTGGTATAGCAGACAAAGTTAAAAACGTATTCAACTACAGCGACGACAAAGACGAAGACGTTAAGGAATCATCCCCTAAACCGGAGCCTCCGCAACCACAGCCCAAACCACGAGAAACTAAAGAAAAAGAAAAAACCCCACCGAAACCTGCGCCTAGACTTATCACCGAAGATTTACTAGAAAAAGTCGACGACATGTTCAAAGATATCAAACATAAACCTCATATAAAAGACGAGGATGAATTAGACAGTCATATTTATTCCACAAAATTAATCGTTGACGAAGAAAACGATCAGCCGCCAGGTCTCCATGATATAACAGAGGAAGTGTACCAGCAATACGAAAACATGCAACCTGTAGAAACACCAGGTTGCTGCAAGACATCAGATCCATTCCAATTTTACACCGGATGCTGCGAAGGAAAGTACAAGAAGGGACAGAAGCATCGACACGACGAAACTTCCAATTTAGTAGACAGAGTTGAACAGATAAACTTTACCGCACACGAGAAACTGGATGATCTATCTGATAAAGTACAAAATAATATTAATGATGGCTTGAATAAGATAGGAGAAGAAAGAGACGTCATAAAACAACAAACAATTGAAGCGAGTGAAGATCTAATAGAGAAAACTGATGCATTGAAGAAACGTTTGAAAGATAAGGGAGATGAATGGAAATCTTCAATCGATGAAAAAGCAAAGGAATCGGAAAATGCACTGAACGATCAATTAAATAAATTAAACGAGGATGTTAAGGATAAAAAACAAACAATTCAGTCAAGTATCGAAGCGGAAATCGAAAACGCAAAGTCTTCCACCAAAGATACTCTCAGCCAATTGGCCGAAACAACTAATCTCGCCAAAAGTAAATTGGAAGACAAAGTTCACGAAGTTGATTTCGCAGCACGAGAGAGAGCTGAACAACTGAGACTTGCCAGTCAAGACAAAATAGAGGACTTGGAAACAAACATAAGAAATGCAGCAAATGAAAAGTCTAAAGACTTAAATGACACCATGAATAATGTACAGGAAAATATTAAAAATAATGTACAAGACCTTAAAAACGATTTGAAAACAAATGTTAATAACGCCAAAGATAAAACGAAGGATAAGATGAATGATGTTAATGATGCTATGAATAATGCCAAGGATAAAGTACAAAAAGCTGCCGCTGATACTAAAACAAAGGCTGGAGAAAAGAAAGATCAAATCGAAACAGAAGTTAAAAAGAAAAAGAAGGAAGGCAAAAACTTTTTTACCGGTTTAGTGCATAATATCTTCGGAGAGAAAGATAAAATTGAAAACGAAATAAAAGAAAAGGCATCCGAAACACAAGAATATACAGAACAACTAGTCAAACAGGCATCCGATAAAAAAGATGAAATAAATGAAAAAATTGCGGAAGGAAGGGAATCTGCAGAAAGGTTGGCAAAGGAACAAAAAGATAAGGCTAAAGAAAAGGTAACGGAGGCGAAGGAAACTGCCGACGAATTGATACAAAAAGCATCTTCTAAAAAAGATAACATTGAACAAAATCTCAAAAAGAAAAAGGTAGAAATAAGCGAAAATATTGATTACGTAGTTGAAGCTACTCAAGATAAGAAGGCTGAAGTGGAACAGGCGTTAAGGAATAAAAAAGATGAAACAGAAAAAGCCCTTGTTGATAAGACAGGCGAAATCAAAGCTGCCTTCGATGACAAGAGGCAAGAAATGGAAAACACAGTAGAGGACAAACTGGACAGTCTGAGGCATACAAAAGATGAAGTACAAAGCGAAGCGAAGAGTCAACTGGAAAGGATATGGCAGGAGGCTGTGCAAACTACAGAAGAGATAAAAAAATCTGGCGAAACTCTAGCAAACGCAACCGCTAACAAAAAATCCGACTTACAAAACAACGTATCAAATAAAATCGAACAATTAAAAGAATCGGGCAAGGAGGAGATCGTTTCAGTACAAAATGCAGCAAGTGATAAATATAATGATCTACAAGAAACATCGAAACAGACTTTCGAGAACTTGCAAGAATCTACCTTAAGTACTTTTGATAAAGTCGAAAGTGCAGCTAAGGACAAGGCTAACGTCGCCAAAGAGAGCTGGGAGGAGGTGCAGAGCTCGGCGCGGGACACGTACGCCGACATGAGAGATGACGTCACCAGCCTGGAGAACTCCGCGCAGGACACGCTGCACAGCTTCCAGAGCTCCGCGGGTAACACTTTCGATAGCTTGGATGAATCAGTGAAGGAATACGTCAGTGGTGCTTCAAATACGCTACAAAATGTCGAAAATAACTCTAAAGAGTTGTTCGGAGATGCTAAAAATACTTTCGAAGGATTCCAAATATCTGCTGATAACAAATTAGAGGATGTTAAAGCATCCGCAAAGGATAGTCTAGAAGACGCCGGAGCGAGACTGGGAGAGACGAAAGATGCTGTGAAGGAGGACTTGAAGGGTGCTGAAGAGAGTGTTATGAACACAGTTTCAAGTGGCGCTGATAAACTGGCAAGCGGTTTTGAGGCTGTAGGAAACTTTGCGCTCGGGGCTTTTGACCAAGGTACGTTTTATTTTTTAACAAAATTAATTTACAACAAAATAATTTCTTTACTCGGCGTTATTTATTAGTAGTAGATGTCTGTAAATCTTTTAAAAAAAAATTCTTCATTCATCGTAGTGGAATGAAATTTGCACGTTGTACACTTAAAGACAAAAAAAGTGGTATAGTAATCTAAAAAAAATTAAATTTAAAATCTAATTCAAATGTTCTAGGTGTAAAGAAAGATTCATCGACGAAACTTCTGGAATCAGAAAAAGCGCAGTCTTCTCCACATAAGAAAAGTTCAGGGTATGTGTTCAATTATTTTTAATGATTATTAATTAATTACAAGGTAAAATTAATTATTTTGGTTACTGTTACTGGAGAAAGAAACATAACACATAGATTTTTAAATTGTAAATAACCGTTCACATGGCTACAGCACATCACTAATTCACAAATGCATACAGCATTGTATTCGCTACGGCCATAAAGCACTTTTTACATTGAATTTTATTTATTTTCCATAATTTTCATTTTAAACATGCGTTTAAATTGAATTTATTTGGGTTATCTCATAGATTTTATATAAATAGTTAAGGAAAAAATATGAAGTACACTTTGCCTGCATCTAACTCCACCTGCACAAAATTACAGAATACCGAAGCTTAAGAGGAAGAAATAATGCAGCGAACGAACCACGAACGCAGAACGATGTATGATATCATTTAGTTTTATTATTTATTGATGTTTTTACGTTAATATGACAAAACGATTATTTCGATTTGTATAACCACAAAATAGATATTTGCAATAATTTGTGCTCAATCATTTTATGGTGCTACGAAGCTGGTTAAAAAATTAAATCTAACCTTTTTTTTCTGTGCAATGTCATTTAAATCAAAATAATCGTTTTATAAATATATTATTTAGCTTCCAGTGAAATTAGCTATTGGATATAGCTTTATATTTACGTTTTTGTTTATTTAAAGCCTTTCTTTTGTACATTTAAGTACAAAATTGGCATAATATTCCGATTTATATATTTGACCTTATAAATCTCTATTTAATTTTAGTTAAATGTGCTATAAATGCATGTTTTATTTATAGACCTAATAATTTTGACAAACAGTGGAATTAGTATTACATTAAAAATCTACATTTTTATATATTCTTTTATTTTAATATTATTTTTTAAATCAAATATTTTTATTTCAAATAATTTTAATTGTTTTATAATTTATACAGATTATATAATTGAAGTTAATCATGTCTTATATCTTGCCTGCATATTATGACTGGTTTACATTATTCCAGAACAGTAGGTAAGTGGCGCTGGATTGGCATGGACTATTGGATAACTAGTGTCAGTTCACATAATGCAAGGTGTATGCCAGCGCTGATTTTGTGCGCTTCTGTCCTACTGTACTGGCATAATATAAACTAGGCATTAGATTTTGTTTTTATGTTGCAATATTTTTAAATTTTATAGCTCTCCTAATATATTGATAAATGATTAATACAATTAAAAATAATCAACCAACTTTATATAATATATTTGCAATAGTTTCGGTGTTTTGTGTTGCATAACTTATTGTTTTTAGTTTAAATAGATTGCTTTATGTACAAAATATGTTTACAGTTTCATAATCTTAAGAATTGGGAAGATTTTTTTCTTTAAAAGATTTTTGTAACACTAAATATGACAAGACTGCAACTGGAAACCTTTTAAAAAAAAACTAATAAAAGCATTTATGATTGGCTATAGTTATTTTTTTAAGCTCAGTTTTTTTTTCTTCAGCAAATATTTTTATCAACGTTTTGTTATTAATGTTTAATAATCATTTGCTTAATTGTAACATTAATAGATCTGCTAGGTTATTTATTCTTTGTAACATGTCACACAATATAGTTTTGTTACAGTAGTCAATTATTGTAACATTGTTTTCGTCACAAAGGACATAAGCCATAATGTTTTTATAGATTGTCACATTGAAATTGGTATAAGAATCTGAATTGTAACATAATTGTAATTACAAATAGAATCACGACAATCAATATTATATAGTGAACACGCATGCATTGCTTGTGTCTATGTAAGTTGTTATATATAAGATATTATATAAAATGTTCTCGATCACTATTTTGTTTCTTTTTTATTTCAGGCAACCATATTATTTTTAATTGTATTTGTAGTATAAATGTAAAGTTATACCTTCTTGATAAAAGATGTTATTTTTTATTTATATATTATTTTGAAATAAGAAGGGTTGGGTAAATTAAAAATGGGATATAGAAAATACCATACTGACTTGATGTTTTGGGGGTTAGGTTAAATTTCTATGTACCCTAAGCACTTGAAAAGTTCACGATATGCACTATGCACTAAATAACAACACGTACAACCTTGGGTAAGTTTATTTACATATTCATTTTTATGTTACATCACACATTATTTGTGTTTTTAGGACACCGGTCATTACTGTATTTTTGTAATTTAGCAAGGTTTTCTGGAAACATTTTTTTTATTTAAACGCTGCAAATTTCAGGTAATAATAAACTCATTAATATTCTTACCTTAAATAAGAATAAAACTTTATCATAAATCCGCAATATATTAATTTATTGAACCACTATGTTCCAGATTCTTCTCAAAGTTACGGCGCAACCCATGAAATTAAGTTTGGACGCAGCAACGCTTCAACATTTAGAACATAACTGCAAAAAATAGTCGATGTAGCAAAGTAAAATAAGTGTTTAATCTTTGCATTTTAGGTCATGTTTACCATTTGTAACATATCTATGTTACAATCCGTAAAAACCCGGCAAAGTTTGATGAAAGTGCTAATGCAATTTTTAAAATAAAATAGATTTTGATTAATGTTTAAAAAACTTAATCCAGTCTGAATTATAGACCGCGTAGAATATTCTAGAATGAGAATAGATATTTTAGACAGCTAAAAATCTGGCCTTTATTTCTATGTGCTATTTTTAAACGGTTTTACTTTAGTAATACGTGATATCTGAATGCTAAACTTGTTATTGAATAGGTGCGTACAAGTTTTTGGTACTATTTTTTGTTAAAATATAAGTCATAAAAAGTTCAAACTCATATGTATACTTGAAGGCAATTAATTACATTATTCTTAAGTTATATTTTTACCTTGATAACTACTATTTTGTCTACTTATTGGGATAATAAAAAATTTGCCCAATGTTACAAAAATATAAAAGATTGCACCTTAATTAATTTGACGATTAAAATGTTTAATAAAAAATCTCGAAACAAACGTAGTAAATAGGTAAAAATATGACTTATTTCCGAATAATGTAAATAAAAATCAATTGCATAAGTTACATACAATATTTGATGTAGTTAAAATTATGGTATATTTATTTCGTCCCTTTTTCTTCCAATTTTCGTAGTCGGGATGCGCATTTTATCGACGTATAAAATTGGCTCCGCATCTAAATGTGCTGCGAAAAAGCACCGAATAGCGACTGATTGAAAAATGTTTGATTTTTGTAACATCCTGTAACACAGTCTTTGTATCACGCAACATCCCCTTGCACTGAAGTAAAATAAGCTCTTTTTGTATTAAAATGTTTTTAATATCTTTGTTCTTACGATTTAACATTTAAAACTAAATTTTGTATCCTCTATATGTTGTAAATGTCTTTAAATCACTTTATAATGTTTGCAATAACTTTAGTATTTAGTGTTTCATTAATTTCGTAACTTTGTATGAATGAAAGAAAATCGCGTTAAATTGAGTTTCTGACGGTGGTTAGAATTATTGACTATGTAGAGTAAGCGAGACGAACATATACACGATACTACAGGTGTAAAAGGGAAAGAACACCATCTAGTATCAATTACGCGAAATCATTGTTGCCAACCTTAAAAGATAGAGGTAAAATTGTTAAAAAATATTTAAAGGGGTCTCGCCGTCTACAGAATGAATGAGTTTTGTATTTAATTGACATATTAGTTATATTCATAAATATATAAAATTTTATTGACCCTATATTTTAAATTCTGAAAGTACTGTGATGCCAAATATATATGTATAATGATGTTTAAGTGTAAAGTTGAATATAAACTTTTGTTGATTTATTAATAGAGTTTATCTTCACCCTATTTATTGCTTTTTAGTAATAAATAAATATTGCGAAAATTGTGTTTCATTGTTTGCTTCAAAAACATATTTTTATAAGTTTTTTTTGGCAAATTACGTTTTAAAAAGGGATAAAGATGAAGATATCCTTTCTAAACCACTAAAAAATCTGCTTAAAATAAAAAATAAAAAACAGTCCTTTATAACACACATTTTAATATTTTGTATGTAACAAACATACGTCATTTTCATTGAAGTCGAGTGCCGTTAAACGACATAATACTTTTCAATTCTCTTCACATAATTATATTCAGATTCGATTAATTATTCCAAAATTATATAAAATGCACACAAAAAAACCTTATTTACCACTTTTTTATCGGAATGTTAAATGATATTTCTATTAGGTCACTTATCACATCTATTTTGTAAACTTATCACAATATTCTTAAATCTAATATAAAATATTTCATAAAATAACAAAAAAATTATAAAAAATGAGATAATTAAACTAATATAAAATACATTGATTCTAAATACTGATATAAAAATCAAAATATATTTAGTACATTTTACTAAATAAATGATAATCGGTTAAAAAAATACATTAAGAATTTTTTTTCTAAATTGTCTTCAATAAAATATTTATTTTTATTATTCATATAATAATCTCTAAATAATATAAAGAATTGAATCGTACTGTAAAATGCATTAAATGCATATAAATTCGTCAATAATCTAAATTAAACTTTAGCTAGTCAAATACAATCAACTGCCCGCGTCTGTTGCTATAATACTATCACAGTCCAAATAATCAGTATCCGTTAACTGTCGTTTTATCATTAAATGTGGAGTTTTCATTATTTTCTTTTCTTTCAAACATTTCGGTATCACCTCTTTAGTCTCCATAAAGAATTGTACAATAACTCTCTCGAAGAACAAAGCGATAACAAAATTAAACGAAGCCAATGCCAATACAATGTAACCCATTAAATTATCTTTAGGCATTTTTAATTGGAAGAATTCCGACAGCCATTTTGCGGGCGATATTGTTAAATATGCACAAACAACTGTCATTATAACCACACTTATCATCAAATGTCTGTTGGTTATCACCGAGCGACGGTAGGGGGCGCCATGACTGAAAACTATCGCTAATATAATATATTGGAACATTGACACAGTATATATCGCGTAATTCTCCCAACATTCGTTCGCATTATCACCTTCGTAAGTATGGCGGACGTACCACGGAAACTGCGTCATAGCGAGATAACTCAAATACTGAATCACCGCTATCAATGTCATTTGACCTATCAAAGAAACTAAGGGAGCAAAACCTAATAAAGAAGTCAGTGGAGGTATTTTACAAAGTCTTCCAGTGTGTGCTTCTGTCATACCGAAGAAGAACGCGAAGTTCACGATTAGTGCGACATCTATGAAAAGATATTGGAAATCTGTGAGATTAGAGTCGAAATAGTAGAGGAACGCGACTGAGAGGAATTCAGTGAGGGAGTAGGCTATCATGAATTTGAAGACTCCGAAGCTGGTGCTGAGGGCGGCGCGACCTTCCCGCAGCACGTGGGTGACACAGGTGACGTCAGGCTGGGAGGAGGTGAAGGGCGCAGCCACACTGCTCTCCAGCTCCGACAGTGAGATGCCAGTATGTGCAGCCCGAAGTGCCCCACAGTCGTTGGCGCCGTCACCACACATTCCTGAAGTATATTTTGTACACAACACAATATTAAATGTAAAAATGCACAGCGCACAAACGACCTTGAAACTCAAAGATATTTGATATATATACTGACCAACATAATATCCAAGCGCTTGGTATTCCACAATGAGCTGCTGCTTCTGGTCCGCCGTCATGCGTGCGAACACGGCACCGCGGGACACCACGCGCGGCACTAGGGACGCGTACCGCTCTCGCAGGATCTAAAAAATTCCACGTCTAGAATATTCTGGCAGGAACTTGATATATACGGAGAAGCTAAGAGTATAATGTAGTTTTTGAGTTATGGACGTTAGAATATCGTATCGTGGTAATTCCGATGGATACTAGATTTAGACTAGATTTATTGCAACACACTTCACACCGCTGGGAGAATACTTATATTACACAATAAAAAATAAATGATAAAAATTCCAAAGTGTACCTTCCAAGCATCTCCAGTCATGACGATCTTGTAATTGGGCATGACAAGAGGTGCTTCGACGTCGGGAACGGAGTCCCCAGTGGAGCCCGAGCCACGCCACGAGCCCCGCCCGCTGTCCTCGCTGCGCCACGAACATACCTGCTCCAGAGACGTCTTCCGACCAACTGGAACCTGAAAACATTATTAGTTTAAAAATGTTTATTCAATTTTGTCACTCTCAATAGTGTATTTAAATTTGTGCCAGCGCCATCTAATGATAATTTGTGAAAAACTGACTCCATGCAGAGTGCTTTCGCAGTAAAGAGTGACACCGCGTTCGTCAGAATGCGGCACTAGATGCACGACGCGCTCGCCACTCTGCAGCACGCCGCACTCCTTCGCCACGCTCACCGCTGTGTGCACGTTGTCACCTGCAAGGCAATAAAATGGTTAATATAAAATAATGACTAACTGTATTCTATCCATGAGAAAACAGAAAACCAATCACATATCACTGTTCAAAATGAAGCTAGGCACAATAGAATAACATACTGACCAGTAATCATAACGACGTGTATGTTAGCCTCTTTTAGTTCCCGTATAATGCCTGTTGTTGCCGCCTTCAGCCGGTTCTCCATAATCACCAGCCCCAAAAACTCCAAATCACACTCAATCTGACAACAAGAAATTCATTAGAATAATTAAATAAGAGGGTAGTAAACTAACACTAACTTGACCGCCATCTTTGCCGCCATATTGGATTTTAAATAACGTCCCTGACTACCACACTCAGAGTCTACGTATCACCGCATTCTTCGTTTTACAATTACATGAACATCTCAATACTAAAGTTACACTAAGGGGCTGGCTTCGTGAACAATTAACGACTTAATTGTAGAATTTTAATTCATATCTAAACTAAATGTCACCATGCGAGATTTTTTCTATAAAATATTCCATTACCTCATCCCTGGTCATCTTCTGCAGCTGCTTGAAGGTCACCTCCATTATCTTTGTAGACATGGCGATCACGCGGTAGCCTTTCTCCGCGTACGAACTCAGGATTTCATTCAGATTCTCAGGTACTGTAACAAAAATTAACGATTCAGAGCCAAATTTCAGCTTTTTGCTCTATTTACGTGTACGTACGCGTACGTCTGTATACACGGTACGTATACGCGTATACGCACCGGTATCTGGTCGGCAGAGCGTGCGCAGCGTCTCCGGAGCGCCCTTGCAGTAGACACGCAGCACGTCCTCGCCCAGCAGCCGCACTGCCACAGCAGACCGCTGTAGAGATGACACGAACTGGTACTGCTGGACTATGCCCACCTCGAGTGGCATCTGAAATATTAATACATAACGTATAAATATTAATTAAATTATAGTGTCTGTATGTAATATCAAAAAAATATGTCATAGACTTTAGCCGATGCACGCGGGCGTATTATAGGATACTTTTTTATTTCTGCGCTGACAAAGTCGCGGTCGACCACTAGTGTTTTAAGAGATTGTAAATGTACTCACATGAATGTCATCAACATTGATATTGGCAGTTTTCTTAGGTCTAACAATAGTTGGGGTCAGGATCTCATAGTTCGACAGTTCCGGTACATCAGGCTCTTCTAACGTCCATCCAGTTGATTCAAACATCTGGAAACAATTAAGAAAGTAACCTTTTATCGTTCTCTATTTTATCTGCCAAAAAATCATATTAATATCTAAAAATTTAATTAGAATTAGTACTTTAATTGATTTTGTACCATTTTCTACCTAAACATATAAAAAAAACAAGTTATGGTGAGCTAAACCATAGATCGCAGTAGAATAATTTTTAACAATATCTAAAATATCGATGATAAAAATAGTCAAGTCTGAATGTTGTTTACGACTCACTTTAAGGTCCAACGGATCACCAGCCAGTTCCCCATTAAGCAGTGTC